ATCCAAGGGTTGACATACTTTTTCCACCTGCACTGTGAATGTTTACATGGTGTGTTCAATAAAACATGGCAACATTTCATTCTTTGTGTGTTATTAGTTTAAGCAGACTGTGATTGTCTATTGTTGTGACTTAGATGATGATCAGATCACATTTTATGACCAATTTGTGCAGAAATCCATATCATTCCAAAGGGTTCACATACTTTTTCTTGCAACTGTATGTCTTTGCCCTTTATCACAATAGTTCAATATCATTAACATTTAGAACATTAATCAGTTTTGCAATGGTTGGATAGTCTTTTATATTTCTGTCAAACGTTGGCAGTATGCCCTTCTGTTGGCATCATACTTCTATAACCAGGTCAGAACAAAACTAAAAAGGTTTTATAATATTATTTATTTGCGTTATCAAATAATTGAGCAAACAGGCCCCACCTGTCCACTTTCTATGTCCTATACAACAAATGTCTTGTAAAACAAATGCAATTGATGCCAAAAATCCACAGACAATAAATGGCTATTTACTAATGGTGGGTTTAGACAAATAATTCAAACTTACCTACAGCGTCACCTAGGTGATCATCAATACAAGTTTTAATTTATTTCTATTTTATTTACACAATTTGATTTTATTGCTTTATTGAGTTGGTAGCCCAAAAGTACATTTCACATACGGCATAATCCAATATGTTACCCTGACAAAAGTCTGAGCTCTGTCGCATAAGTTGTGTTTAGTTTAGACACGTGTCTCTACAAGGGCTTGGAAATATATTAACCCTAGTAGCGTGGGTAAGTAATTTTTACAGTAGGGATGAGTTTTTCTAATTTGTTTTACAAATAATTAATTAAAAAGAAAAATACTAATTTATTTTATTTTAAAGGAACACTAGAGTCGCCTAAATTACTTTAGCTAAATAAAGCAGTTTTAGTGTATAGATCATTCCCCTGCAATTTCACTGCTCAATTCACTGTCATTTAGGAGTTAAATCACTTTGTTTCTGTTTATGCAGCCCTAGCCACACCTCCCCTGGCCATGATTGACAGAGCCTGCATGAAAAAAAAACTGGTTTCACTTTCAAACAGATGTAATTTACCTTAAATAATTGTATTTCAATCTCTAAATTGAACTTAAATCACATACAGGAGGCTCTTGCAGGGTCTAGCAAGCTATTAACATAGCAGGGGATAAGAAAATCTTAATTAAACAGAACTTGCAATAAAGAAAGCCTAAATAGGGCTCTCTTTACAGGAAGTGTTTATGGAAGGCTGTGCAAGTCACATGCAGGAGGTGTGACTAGGTTACATAAAAAAAGGGATTTAACTCCTAAATGGCAGAGGATTGAGCAGTGAGGCTGCAGGGGCATGTTCTATACACCAAAACTGCTTCATTAAGCTAAAGTTGTTCAGGTGACTATAGTGTCCCTTTAATGCTTGATAAAGAATTATTAACCAAACAAATTTGAAGTTATAGTTGTTTTTTAAGATAGTTTGCAAAGTTGAATTTAATGTTAATTACATTACACCTATGACATGGTTCCCTGAACAAAAAGGTAGTAAAACAGTAGAAAATTACATTTCAGCTTGTGACTGTATTATTATTATTTATAAAGCACCAGCCAATACAACAACTATGTAGAAAAAACGTGGACTAACAAACAAGTATTTGCAACAAGAAGAGTTGGACGCACAGGAACAGAGGGTGTAGCAGGCCCTCCTCAAATGAGCCTACATTCTAGTGGGAGTGGGGTAAAGTTTCACAAGAGGTAAGGGTAGGATGTATTCTATGTATGGGAAACAGTAGGTTACTAGAATAGTATACAGTGAAGGGTTAGTTTATTAGACAGTTGGAGGAGAGGACGTAGGGTATGTTACCAAGGTGCGGGGAATATGTAAAACAATATATTTTGTGTTCTTAATTATATGTAATGATATTTAGACATGTGCAATTCGGAGTGATTTTGGCAAATCAGACATTCGGATGCTTCTGAATGTCCAAGTTGCCAAATTTCAGAAGTGCCAAATTTCAGAAGTACCGCTCCGAGCCGAATTGCCAAAGTGCCGAATTTCGGGAGTGCCGAAGGGCTTCAGATTTGTAAAAAGTGGCAAAACAAGAGGGGGATGGAAAATTATGATGACAGGAATCTAGACCAATAAGCTAATTCCTGGCACTGGGAGCCCAATAGATGTGTAAGTGGTTGTGGTGGCAGTCCCAACACTTAACCCTACCCCTAACCCTAACCCTAGATGTGTAAGTGGTTGTGGTGGTTAGGGTTTGGGATTAGGGTTAGGGGTAGGGTTAGGGAGCCCTACAGATGTGTAAGTGGTTGTGGTGGCTAGAGAGGGATGCTTACTGTAACGGCAATCCCAGGCATAAAAGGGTGCCGAATTGCAGAAGTCCTGAATTTTGGAAGTGTCCCGAACCGAACGAAGTGCCGAATTGCCGAAGTCCCGAATTGTTGAAGTCCTGAATTTTGGAAGTACTGAACTGAATGTTTTGCCCATGCACATTCCTAATGATATTTGTGCAAGATAAAGGAAAAAACATCTCCAGTACCTATGGACCACTCTACGCACCCAGACCACTTCAGCTTAATGAAGTGGTCTGGGTGCCAGGTCCAGCTAGGGTTAACCCATTTTTTCATAAACATAGCAGTTTCGAGTAACGAGTATGTTTTCCTGGCACTATAGTGGTCCTTTAACATAAACTGATGTCTCCCAAATGAAATTCCCTAGAACAATATTCTGGATTACAGAAATATAAAAGGAGTCAACTGAAAAGGGAGCATAGCATAACAAATAACAACTTTAATTTATTATTAATGGATTCAAAAGTTGGTTACAAAATGTGGTGAGCACCACCAGAATTGTGTCTCACATATGAGTACTGGATCTACTTAGCGGTATTTACAAATATGGGCTTGATTGCATATCCAGATAAGATATTCTTTCTAAAAATGTCAAGCAGATCAGAGATACAACTCCTCCTGGAAGGCTATTTAACATTTCAACTCACTTTCTTGTTGAAGTGGAAAATAATAAGTAGAGTGCTGTAGACTAGCTAGAACAGGGGTAGTCAACCTGGTCCCTACCGCCCACTAGTGGCAATGCTGCGATACAGTGCTGTGCTCGCAGGAGGACAGAAGCCGGAGGAGAACCAATCTATAGTGAACATGCCACCACTGGACCACCAGGGCTCGCAACATTATGTCTCCCAAGCAAACATGAGGGGTAGGCAGGGGTGAGGGGCATGGGCGTCCGCAGGGGGGGGGCAATGGGGGGGCACTTGCCCCCCCCCTGGATTTTTCAGCTTGTTCTGCTTTTTTCGTGTGTTAGAATGAACTGCAATACCGGTGCCGGCCAGTAGGTGGCGCTGTGTGTGGAGAGAGACAGGGATAGGAAGCTGCATCTTATCCCTGCTTCTCTCTGCTGATTGAAACCGCAGGGGAACAACACATGCAGCCAGAGACAGCCTACAGATCAGGGGAGTGGGGGATGGGGGGGGCAGAGACAGCCTACAGATCAGGGGAGTGAGGGATGGGGAGGGCTTGAGATAGCCTATAGATTTTGGGAGGAGCAGCAGCCTATAAAGATTTTGGAGTGTGGGGCAGCAGCCTATAGATTTTTTTTTGGGGCAGCAGCCTAGGCAGCATATAGATTTTTATAGATTTGGGCAGCAGCCATAGATTTTGGGCAGCAGCCTATAGATTATGGAGAGTGAGGCATGGGGGGGCAGCCTATAGATAAGGGAAGTGAGCATAGGCCTGCGCAGCCTATTGCATTAGGGTGTGCACCCTAAAGCACAAACACACGCCATGTGTATATGTATATATATATATATATATATATATACACACACACACACACATATACACACACACACACACACACACACACACTGTTGTGTGTGTGAGGGTGCTGTTAGTGTGCTGTGTGTGAGGGTGCTGTTTGTGAGGGAACTGGTAGTGTGCTGTGTGGGTGTGTGAGAGGGTGTTTGTGTGTGCGCGTGTTTGTTCGGGTCCTGTTAGTGTGCTGTTTGTGTGCGGGTGTTGTGTGTTTGTCAGGGTGCTGTTTGTATGAGAGTGTGCTGTTCGTGTGTGGGTGCTGTGCGGGTGTTGTGTGTGGGTTTTGTGTGTTTGTGAGGATGCTGTTAGTGTGCTGGGTGTGTGTGGGTGTTGTATGTGTGTGGGTGCTGTGTGTGCGAGGGTGATGTGTGTGTAGGTGCTGTGTGTGTGTGTGGGTGCTGTTTGTGGGCTGTGTGTGTGTGCTGTATGTTTGGGTGGAGGTGGGGGCAGACTAGTTAATATCCCAGTCCTGCTGCCTTCCCTGTTGGTTCAGTGGAGAGTGAACCAACCGCTCGGATAGCGTCGGCTCTGCATGAGCCGAGCGGGGAGATCCAGAGATCTCCCCTGTCGGTCTCAATCCATTGGCGTGCTGCAGGGATTAGGGTGTGCCCAGGCACACCCGACACACCCCGTGCGCACGCCTATAGAAGTGAGGAATGGGGGAGACCGCCTACATGAAGAGTCAGCAAGGAGCAGTAAGGTAAGAAAAGGAGAAGGAACAGAAATGAGCAGGAAGGGACATCAAGGAGCAGAAAGGGTCGGAAATGAAGGGGCAGAAGGAGCACAAAAGCTGGAAGGGGCAGAAGGAGCACAAAAGGTAAAGTAGGAGAATGAGCAGGAAGGGGCAGCAAGGAGCAGAAAGGGACAGCAAGGAGCACAAACGTAAAGGAGCAGAAAGAATCAGAAGGAGCACAAAAGGTAAAGTAGGAGAAAGAGCAGAAAGGGACAGCAAGGAGCACAAAGGTAAAGTAGAAAAGGGAGAAGAAAGGGACAGCAAGGAGCACAAAGGTAAAGTAGAAAAGGGAGTAGAAAGGGGTCTGCAAGGAGCAGAAAGGAATCAGAATGAGAAAGGAGCAGAAGGGCGCAAAATAAGCAGAAAGTAGCAGAAGGGGCCAAGGATAGAAAACAGTGTCAGAAGAAAGAAAAAAAGACTGTCAAATGAAGGAGAGGAAAAGGAGATTGGAGCAGGAAGGACAAATGAAGTGAACCCTCCACTTTATTCTGGACACCACATCATAAGGCTTTGGTACCTGGGCCAGGCAGGGAAACGCTGGACCTTCTCATCTCCAAAGGTAAAAAAATATCAGTATTAATGTGTTCACTTTTATTTACTGAGTGTCAGGAGGCACAGAGTGCTGTTGGGTAGGGGTGTTGCTGATTGGCTAGAGCGGTCAGCTGGCACTCTAAGCCAATCAGTAGCTCCCCATTCATAAAAAAGTAAAAATATTTTATGAACCGGGAAGTAGCGATTGGCTTAGAGCGTCAACTGTCCACTCTAGCCAATCAGCGGCACCCATGCCTGACGTCAATCTGCACTTCCTGACACTCTGTTTCAGAAGCCAAATACCACTGAGTGACCTGGAGCTGGAGGAAGCCTTTGGGGTTAAACCATTTGAGAGCGATTTAACCCCTTAAAGGAAAGCGAGCACCCAGGGGCTTCCTGGCATCATAGCATTTTCATTTAGGTGAAGTTGTTATGGTGACCAGAATGGTCCTTTAATTTGCTTAAAGGAACACTATAGTGTCAGGAATACAAACATATATTCCTGACACCATAGTTGTGAAAACGCTATTCACCCTGGCTTTATGTGATAATGGCTATGCCCCTTCCCTTTCATGACACTGTCAAAAAGGTACCAAGCATGAATGTCATTACAATTATGCCCCCCCCTGGAAAAATTCCTGCGGACGCCCATGGTGAGGGGGGAGGTGGCCACACTCACTGGCATGTTTTTTTGTCACCGTAGAGGATGACATGGGCATTACGAAAGTGGCACAAACCACCACAGATGCTGCCCTCAGCACACTACAAAACAGCAACGCTGACATGCTCAATCGTATGCCTAACCTGGAAGACACGATTAAGGTGAGAATCAGGGGAGTCCCTGAGACCATAACCACTGAAGAAATGCCTCATTTTATTTAGCGACTCTTATTGCTGCCCACAACTAAAGCAAAACAGGTCATAATAGACCATTGTTTTTGATTGCCTAAGGCCCCTTGAGCCCTCTCGAATACATCCAGAGACATTCTGGTTAAATTTGTTCGGGATTCTGACAGAGGTACCATTCTGGCGGCGACCAGAGGTTCCCCTACCACAGCATTCAACTGACCTTCTACAGGGATGTATCCTGCCACACCATTTCCTGGAGACAATCTCTCCGACAACTTACCCAACCCTTACAGGAACGCAGTGGGTCTTACAAATGGGGCATACACAGGCTCCTAGTTGAAAAGGGAGACAGGACCCACTCAGTTACTCACCTTTCCGAGGTGCATCACCTACTACAGGAACTTGGATTATAATGCCCGCTCTTACGAAATTAATCCACTTACTTGGGAAATGCTTCTCCTGGGACTCTCGGCAGGTCAAGGCTAAACAGGGCCCTGGAATGAAGCCCTATATATCCAAGAGGCTGCACTCAGCTGAACATGCAAACTTATAAGGGTGCTGCTTTGGCCTCTTTTTTAAAATAAAACTATTACATTCTGTGAGCCTTGAAATTGCAGTTTAGTGAATAAGTGAGTGTGCTGAATCTTGCAAGTTGTATGAATATACATATTTAAATTCCACATGTATATTTATGTAATCTTTCTACATAATTATGTGATTTTCTTAATTACATATTAAGGGGCCTGCCTGACAACCCAGGTAGAAAGTCCAGAGAATTTAATTTGCAAGACCTATATTTAACCCTCTACCTTTCTAAGACACCATAAAATCTGAACATGGATGGTACTGTTTTACTTGGGAGACTTCGCTAAGCACATGCAAATATATCATGAAGGTGATATCAGTGAATGTGCAGTTTGGGTGCGACAAATGCAAAAAAACAAATATGAGCGCCAACTTTGGCCAGAGTGTGTAACTAATTGGCTACTAAAAAAGACTGGATACCCTGAGTAGTCCACTATGGCAAAACGGTATGTCTTGATGGGGTAATTACTGGGCTGCCATACAGTCTCAAAGGCAACATAGCCCCAGCAAACCAATCTGACAAATTTTTAATCTGTATAAACTGAAAATGTGAAAGCCCTATATTTGACCCTGTATCTTTTCCAAACATAATAAAACTTGCCCGTGGGTGGGGTACTGTTGGACTTGTAAGACATTGCTCAACACAAATATGTGTATTTTATTGCAGTAAGAGCTAACAGTATTATGACATTCACCGTTAAAATGCCATGCAGAACTTAGAAAATAAAATTTCTTAATTTCTTTATTTTTTATTTTATTTATTGTATTTATTTAAAATTATTTCATTTTTATGATATTATTTGATATTAAATGAAAGGCCTATTTCTCCTGAACAAAATGATATATAATAAGTGTGGGTACACTTAATTTAAAAGAGGTCAATTATGGTTGAACAGACACATAGCACAAATTCTAGGTTTTGTTTTGATCAGAACTTGTACAATTGTCTCCATCCTTAAGGGGTTTAAAACAGCAGAGAAAGGCATACAAATATAGAGCTACGTATTTGTGTGTGTGTGTACATAAATGCACCAGCTATTTTTATTTCAAGACTTGTGAGTGCACCCTGATTTATTTTATTATCGTAATATTTATACATATTTTAAACTGGGCTTCTCCACCCAGGCAAGTGATACTTTATGTTAACATTTTGGTGGAGTGATATTTTAAGCAATTTATATATATAGTATCTCACAAAAGTGAGTACACCCCTCACATTTTTGTAAATATGTTATTGTATCTTTTCATGTGACAATACTTAAGAAATGACACTCTGCTACAATGTAAAGTAGTAAGTGCACAGCCTGTATTACAGTGTAAATTTGCTGTCCCCTCAAAATAACTCAACACACAGCCATTAATGTCTAAACCATTGGCAACAGTGAGTTGAGTACACCCGTAAGTGGAAATGTCCAAATTTGGCCTGTAACGGAGCTTCCTGTACCCCGGTTGGGTACCTTTGCTGACGGATGCTTCTAGTGCTCACCAAGGACTCCAAGCACTCCACCAGACACCATCAGCGCCGCAGTGCTTACGTCTAGCGTTACAGCTTGTCTGAGAACTCACCCTGGACCTACGACAAGGCTCCAGGTTCCAGTGGGTGAACCTCTCTTCCTTCAGAGAGTCAAGCAGGAACAGTTCTTAAAAGAGCTTAGTGATTATAATCCCTGGAGAGTATAGTGATATAGCATACAATGGCCTTTTATGTAAGTTTCCCAACAAGGTTGACGCCCAGATGGACCTTGTTAGGCACAGGACACAAAGTATGCAAGCCAATAAAAACAATGTGTACACTCCCACATACAGTACGCAAACCCTCCCCTCTGTGTGATATAATTAAGGCAGATAAAGCATTAACTTAAAGGGACACCGTAGGCACTGTATCTGCTTTATCTCATTAAGCTGGTTATAGTGTATGGAGTCCCCTGGTGACATCATTTCTTTCAGCATTAAACAGTTTTTATGTTGTAATGTTTTAATGCTAAACAAGAGACCATGGCAGTCCATCCCATCTGTGATGATTTGGCTAATAAGGAAGTATTACCCTGAGCAGCAATGGGCTGCTGTGATTGGCTGAGAGTGTCAGCTGACTGCTTTTAACCTGTCAGAGTTCCAACTGACGGTATGAATGGGTATGACAACAAGGAAGTGTGTAATCTCTGCCTTAGCTACACATACAGAAGGGGCCGGACTGTGGGTGGCCAGGGACTCTTATTTTGTGGCATACTGCACAAACATGGTGCAACACTGAATGGAGGGACTGTGCCAGGGCACTCCAGGCACTATAACCAATTCCAAGAGACAAAGTGGTTATAGTGACTACAGAGTCCCTTTAATTATCCCCAGGCAGAAAAAACACAAATTTTTTATAAAGTCCAATAAGTACCCCAAAACACAGCATATCCCCATAAATCTTATATTCAGATAGCCCTGATTTGGGTGAACAACATATCCAAAAATCCCCCAGATCAGATAAGAGGTTCAGAAATTTTATGTAAGTCATATTTTTGCCCAGGCAAACAGAGTATTTCATGCCCAAAACAGTTCAATAGAATCGCGGCTACGTGTTGCTGGAGGACCGACTGGGAACCGCGAGGTTTTAATGCCAAAAATAGTTCCAGAGCAATAGTTAATGGCTAAGTCCCCCTGAAGTCTATTTGCGGTTTTAGTCCATGCGAACAAAATGGCCGCCACCACGTGTTCGAATGTCGAATGGTAGCCAGTTCGAATGTTCAGGCGTTTGAAGAACCATTGTTTAAAGTCCCAATAGCCACAAACAGGGTCTCTGAACCACAATAAATTAAAGGGGCCATAGTCACAGGGTAAAAGGCTGGCAAGTAGTCCCCCTCCAAAAACCAGTGACGAGGTCACCTTCACCACACAGCCCAAAGTGTCAATATTTTGTGTGGCCACCATTATTTTCCAGCAATGCCTTAACCCTCATGGGCATGGAGTTCACCAGAACTTTATAGGTTGCCACTGGAGTCCTCTTCCACTCCCCCATGATGACATCATGGAGCTGGTGGATGTTAGAGACCTTCGCTCCCTCACCTTTCATTTGAGGATGCCCCACAGATGCTCAATAAGGTTTAGGTCTGGAGACATGCTTGGCCAGTCAATCATCTTTACCTTCAGCTTCTTTAGTAAGGCAGTGGTCGTCTTGGAGGTGTGCTTGGGGTCGTTATCATGTTGGAATACTGCCCTATGGCACAGTCTCTGAAAGGGAGGGGATCATGCTCTGCTTCAGTATGTCACAGTACATGTTGGCATTCCTGGTTCCCTCAATGAACTGTAGCTCCCCAGTGCAGGCAGAACTCATGCAGGCCCAGACCATGACACTCCCACCACCATGCTTGACTGTAGGCAAGACACACCTGTCTTTGTACTCCTCACCTGGTTGCCGCCATACACGCTTGACACCATCTGAACCAAATAAGTTTATCTTGGACTCATCGGACCACAGGACATGGTCCCAGTAATCCATGTCCTCAGTAGGCTTGTCTTCAGCAAACAGTTTCTGGCTTTATTGTGTATCATCTTTAGAAGAGGCTTCCTTCTGGGTGACAGCCATGCAAACCAATTTGATGCAGTGTGCGGCGTATGGTCTGAGCACTGACAAGCTTGACCGCCAACCCCTTTAATCTCTGCAGCAAAGTTGGCAGTACTCATACGTCTGTTTCCCAAAGACAACCTCTAGATATGATGCTGAGCATGTGCACTCAACTTCTTTG